TTGAGGCAGGGTTTCACTGTGTAGTTCAGGCTGACCTTGTCCCTTTAAACTCATTACAGTCCTCCTGCCTCAGTCACCTGAGTGCTGGGATTACAGACATGCACCACTATGCCTGGCCTCAAAATGTATTTGTAGGCTCAGAGAGACAGCTCAGCCAAGCACCTGCTTAGGCAAGCACAGGGACCAGGGTTTGATCCCCAACACATGATGCGCTGGACCTGCCCCCTGGAGCACTGAGACCAGGCGTGGTGGCACACACCTGTAATCCCAGTGCTAGGGAAGCTGAAATCAGGAGGATCACTACAAGTCTGAGCTGAATAGAGAGACCCTGTAACAAATACATTTCTTAAAAAAGTATTTGTAGCATTAAAGCTCTTTAGGGCCAGGGAGATGGCTCACTGGAATAAGTGCTTCCCTCGCAAGTACAAGGGCCTGAATTCAATCCCTGGTTCTGAAAAAAAAAAAAAAAAAAAAAACAACCTATTTAGATAGAGCTATGGGCTATCTTCTTTTTCTTTCTTCCTACTACAATCCCATCCACTTCTCCAAGTCATAATGGACATTTGGCATAATAACTAAATCTTTTGTTTTAAATCATTGAGGTATTAAAATCCATTGTAATTGCATCATATCCTAGGGTTTAGTAACTGACACAGACTATCAAACCAAGTGACTGAAGGAAAAAAAGACCTTGTAAATTTTAATGTACTACTTTTCTAAATCCCATCTGTCTTAATTATTCTTTGGCTCCTGAGACAAAATGCCAAACATTTGAATTTAAAGGAGGAAAAGTAGTATGGGAGATAAGTAGGCAAGAGGCAGCAAGGTAGCAAGCTACAAGTGACAAGAAATAAGCAATAATAAGTTGGGATGTGTCAGTGCCACAGAGCCTGGCTGGCAGGTACAAAGTCATGAGTTTGATTTCTGGTGCCAACAACACCCTAAATCAGTCCCATCCTTGCATCTTTAATCTAGGCAGCACATGCCCTACTCTAGATTCAGCCACCTCCAAAAGTCTTTGGAATGACATCTCAATACAAGCCATATCACCATTACTTTAAAAGGGGCCTTACAAAAGAACTACAGTGCACAATAGAGGAATATATGATAAGAGATGGGGAAGGTTTTGAAAAGCAAGATGATCAAATTGGAATGATCTGATTGCAGTGTATCTTACCCTAGGCTCATAGGAGAGAAATGTAATGATAAGAGACACTAAAAAAATAGAGGAACTGGAGTGCCTGTTGACTCACTGTAACTTAGGGCTGCTGCAGTTTTGTATAGCTATGTTTTTTGTTGCCATTACAGACATTCAAGATGTGATCTAGAGAAAAGCAGCAGTGTGGTTGATTTTATCAGTGCGATCAATGGCCTAAAATTTCACTAGAAAAAAGAAGAGCAAAATAAACCTAAATCAAGCATAGGGAAAGAAATAATGAATCAAGGATAAATTAAACAGAAAATACAAAATAGAATTTAAAAAAAAAAACTTGCTTCTTTGAAAAGGTCAACAAAATGAACAAAGTTTTAGCTAGAATGACTGACAAAAAAAAATTGAATTTCTAAAGTCAAGAATGAAAGACAGGTCAGATAGCTCAGCAGACTAAACACCTGCTTAGGCAGAGCACAGCGGCTGGGGTTCGATCCCCAGCATGCTGTGCTGACCCCACCCCTGGGGCATGCTGAGACTGATATGGTGGCGCGTGCCTGTAATCCCAGTGCTTGGGAGGCTGAAAACAGGAGAATCACTACAAGTCCAGTCTACGTATTGAGACCCTATAGACACTGTACTAAATACATAAAAAAGATACCAAAAAAAAAGAATGAAAGACAGTTCATACTACTTATCTCCCAAGAATGAATTCTAAGTGCATTAGAAGAATGAGTGAAAGCCAACAAGTTAGGTAACATGGGTGATAAATCTGTGAAAGACACAAAGTGTTGCAACTGACTCAGGAAGAAGGAGAGAAGCTGAACAGACCTGTAAGAGCAAAGAAAGAGATTGAATTAGTAATTTTTAAAAACTTCTTATAAAAGCCCAAACCCAATGTCTTCACTTCTGAATGCTTGCATCTAAAGAATAGGAACTTATCAATTGCTATTCTTTAAGTTTTAATTTTAATTTTAATCTATAACAATTGATTAAACAAAGGAAAGAATACTGACCAACACATTTTACCAGCCCAGTATTATCATAAGATTGAAATATATCACAAAGAAAGAGACCAATATTTCCTACGAATATAAACGCAAAAATCACCAATAAAAATATCAAACTGAATCCAAAATTATATAAGAAAGTATTACTGGGCTAGTAGGGGTGGGAAGATAGCTCCAGTGGTATAACACTCACCTAGGATACATAAGACCCTCAATTCAATCCCCAGCACCAAAAAAGTAAAAATAAACAAACAGAACAGGGTTTATCCCAGGAAAGTAAGGTTAATTTAATATCAAAAAATTACCTTAAGGGGCCTGGGGAGATGGCTTAGTGGAATAAGTGCTTCCCTGGCAAGCACAAAGGCCTGAGTTCAATCCCCAGTTCAAAAAAAAAAAAAAAAATTACCTTAAGGGGACCGGGGAGATAGCTCAGTAGAATAAGTGCTTGCCTGGCAAGTGCAAAGTCCTAAATTTAATCCCCGGTACTGGGAAAAAAAAAAAAAAAAACTAAACTCCTCAATATGCTATATCAGTAAAGTAACAAAAATCTCATGATCACTTCAACAAAGACACATAAAAGTGTTTAATAATACCTAGCCACTGTGCATAACAAAATATTCAAAAGTAGAATAGAAAAGAATTTCTCAAACTAGATAAAGACGATGGACTAATGCTAAGCTTAATGGTGGGAAACTATGCTTTCCACTAAATATAATAAAGGAGCAAACATAGATGTCCATTCCCATAATGTTAAGCATTATAGTGGAGGATGTAGCCAGGGCAATTAGGAAAGAAAAGGGAATGACATTTGGTCTAGAAAGAAAGAAAAGAAAAATGTTACTTGCCTATCTTCTCCTAAAAGTGGTTCACCGATTAAATCTTACGTATTTTGGGTTGCTCACCTCTCCTGGAGCTGGATTCCAAGTTCTTCTCATCTTAAACAAAAAACTGCATGCAATGAGCAAAAAGCAGTGGCAAAGTTTATTTGAAAAAGTGCAAGAGAAGAGGGAAAGAGAAACTAGGTCTACAGAGTGAACTTGGGCTGGGTAAAAGAGGAAAAAGCAAGGTATACCCTGGAGGATGCAGGGCACACTGTCATGAGGAAAGCCACAATAACAAACTCTTTTTGTGTCTGTATCTTTTTTTTTAGTATTTTTTGCAAATTTTATTTTATTTGAAACAACAAAAGCAAGAACAAAAATCAGAAACAGGGTAACATAGAATACAATATATTACAGCTTTTCAAACCAATAACAAGCTAATTAACAATGGTTGACATATTATCTATTCTATTATCTAATTTATTTATATTTTTATTAATTTTATTGAGAAACATATAGCAATGAGACAGTTTCAGAACCAATTAGGACAGTTTCAATAATTAATACATTGCATATTGTCGTCTTTGTAGTGGTTATTCATACAAGATGCAAACATGATATCCTGTCCAAACACTATTGTACAAATCTTTCTTCTCATTGAATTAAGAGAACATCTGTGTCTTTTTATACTGTCCAAGTCTGAAGGAATCCCATGAGAACTCTACACATGAGTCCCACAGTGCTGGAATCCCAGGTCTAGGCCATCCTACTGAAAACCCATTCAAGCTCTTGGAGACATCCACACACAGGGCTATGAGACTGTTATGCACATGTGTGCCCAGATCTTGTAATTAACAGTAATGCCTACTTCCCCAGCCAGTATTGGCATACCCTAATCTCCTATTTCAAAAGTATCTGTGACTACAGATGATGTAAAAAATTCTGAGGATTCCCCCCAAAAATATTATAATTAAGAAACAAGTTCGCAAGTTTATAGGATATAAAAATAAGTAACAATTGTATTTGTGCATACTAACAAAAATCTGACTGAAATTAAAATGATTTCATTTATAATAGCATCAAAAGGTATAATACTTTTATTTTTATATTTTTATTGAAAAAGAAATAGCATTGAGACACTTTCAAAACAGGTTAGTGTGACAGTCACAATAATTAATACATTACATATTGTCTTCATAGTTGTTATTCGTAGTACAAATCTTTCTTTTCATTGAACTAAGAGAAAGGTGTATATCCTATTTCATATATAAAGAGATATATATTCAAAAATACAATATTTAGAAATATATGTAATAAAAATGTAAAGCTTGTGTTCTGAAAGCTATGAAACATTGTGGAAAGAAATTAAAGAAAAATAAATGGAATGAAATACCATTCTTTTTTTTCAGTTTTATTGATACACAGATAGTAATGAGACAGTTTCAAATCAAATTGGAAGTACAGTTTCAACAAATAATACACTGCATATATTCTTCTTAGTGGTTAATTGCTGTACAAGATGCGGACTTGTGATCCTATCCACAAACACCACTAGAACAAATCATTCCATTCATTAAGACAATGCAACTATATATCCATCCCAACCACTCTGAATACACAGATACAAAATGGACATTCATTGGCATACCCCATTTTTTCTAAGTTCCGTTATTGAATATTATAGGTGTGTAAACTCAGCAAAATATTCTAAAAGAGTACAGAAGCCCATAATAGCATTGGGTCTTCTGTTTAACTGGCAATGTCAGAAATTATTGACCTGAGCCCCCCACAGCTCAACATAACAACATGGCTCCACTTCCTATACTTCATCTTCATACTTTTCTACTGGATGGTTAAGACCAAGGTAAAGCAGAACCTATGCAACAAGAGTTGTAGCTTTTTGGTCTGAGAAGGTCAGTGAAATGCCCTCAGGATTTATCCTGAGATCCTGTACCTCAGATTGTAGAAACTTTGTCAGTGCAGCCATGTAGATGAGTCACGGCCATTGCTGAAATACCATTCTGATAGATTTAAAGATTTCAAGGTTATAATGAATCCTCAAATTGGTCTACAGATTCAATACAATCTGTATCGCAATTTCATACAGCTTTTTTATGGAAATTGACAAACTTGCTAAAACTCATACTGAAATGAAGAGAGTAAGACAAATCATATTCATAATCTTTAGAAGGTCATCATTGTCAATTTATAGACAAATATAAATCAGTGAAACCAAATTAAGAGTCTGAAAACAAGCCATCTTTAAATCTAGTTAATTTTTAAAATGATGCCAAAATGATTAGATGAAAAAAAACACGCTGGAATAAATGATGTCCATGTGCAAAAAATTAAAGTTGGACCTCATCTTCATACCACACATAAAGATTAGTTCCAGATGAGCATGTACATAAATGTAAGAGGTAAAACTAGATAACTCTTGGAAGACTGCACCAAAGTAGATCTTTATGACCTTGTATTATGGTAAATCCTTCTTATATACTATGCCAAAGCACAAATGACAGAATAAAATGTATAAATTGAACTTTATGAGAGTCTACTACAGAACTACTAGGATGGCTATAACCAACAGGACAATTACAAATGATTGTGACGACATGGAGAAATTGGAACTCTGGTACGCTGCAGCTTGGATTCTAAAATACTATAGCTGTTTTGGAAAACACCTTCGCAGTTCTTCAAAATGTTATGTTTAGGGGCCGGGGAGATAGCTCAGTAGAATAAGCACTTCCCTGGCAAGCGCAAGGGTCTGAGTTCAATCCCCAGTTCTGAGAAAAAAAAAAAAAGTTAAATTTACAGTTACTGTATGCCCAACACATTTCACTCCTAGGTATATAATTGGGGACCAAAAAGATATCAACCCCTAAATTTGAACTAAAATGTTTATATCAGCATTATTCAAAATAGCTAGAATTTGGAAATAACCCACATTCTATCAACTAAAAGATAAAGAAAATGTGGCATACTTGTATAATAAAATGTTATTTGGCAATAAAAAAGTAAATTCTATAATATGAAAAAACTTGCAAACAAACTAAATGAAAAATTCAATCACCAAAGACTATATATTGTATGATTTTATTTGGAAGAAATGACCAGAACAGCCAAAGCTATAAGAATAAGTGAATTATTGTTTTTACAGAATATGGTGTAGGGTGGAGGGGATTGGGTAGTAACTGCTAATAGCTATGGGCTTTCTTTTCTATCGTGCTCTAATGTTAGATTGAGCTGTACAACACTGTGAATATACTAAAAACTATAGAATTTTATATATGTCAAGTTGGTGAGCTATGTAAGTTATTTGTCAAGCTGCTAAATAAAATGACTCACCATTCAATTATTGTAGATGTAAACAAAGGTATTGCCTGAACTCTAAGGACATATGCCTAAGAAATTAGGAAGTCACTGGAAAGATGAAGTGTATTACAGATGAACCAGGCAGAACAAAAGATGTCTATCCCTGTTTTATGTTGCACGGATAGGCTTCTATCTCCTAGGTATGATTATCCTAGCTAGATGAAGATAAACATGATTTGTTTAAGCAATAAATCTTTTTCGCAGTCCTAGAAACACTGATTTCATAACCCCCACCAGGGAGGACTACACAAGACAGATTTATGTATGTCAGAAAAACAAATGCCTGAGCACTTTTATTTGGACAAAATAACAAATTCTTGTGATTTTTTTGGTGTATCTTTGGACTTTAGTTTTTTGTTTTTTTGGTGTTTTTTTTTTTTTTTTTTTTTTTTTTTTTTTTTTTTTTTTTTGCGGAACCAGGGATTGAACTCAGGCACTTGCGCTTGGCAGGGAAGTCCATGTTCCACTGAGCTATCTCCCCAGCCCCTGGACTTTAGTTTTCAAGAAACATTAACCAACTAAGGTTAAGCAACTAAGCTTAATTTCACCCTATGAATGTCAAAAAAGGAGCAGTTTGTATTCTCATTTTACTGCTGGAAATTTTAATTTAGTTATTTAATCTCATTGCAGAACCTATCAGGAACAAATTTAAACAATTAGTCTGCAATAACTTAGAATGGGAATGAGGCTGGGAAAGTAATTATTCAGCTTTGGTCACAGAACAGCCCAAGAATTGATTTAATTAATGCACTTTCTAATCCATTTTAGATTTTTCTTGGGTCAAAATCAATATTGACCTCTGTTGATTAAAAATAACTCACATAAAATGGTTGTTGAATGATGTACTGAAAGATAGTAGCAAGACAGTCCCACGCTGTACCTTCCCACTGTAGTCTCAAGAGGATGCCTATGTATGTGATTGGCTGACCTTGCTCAATGAATCAAGTGAAGAAAATGTTGCTGAATGTTGGGTGTTATCCTCCTGTTTCATGAAAGTTCTTCAATGTAGCAGTTACTTCTTCTCTCTCTGAAAGTTACATTTAGGTCAAAGGGCTGGGCTCCTACAGCTCAATCTCCTCTCATATCTGTTGCCAATAAGACCATGTGCTGTGGTTGATTTGGGTTCTGCAGCCAACCTTGCAGCAAAACCAGGCAGAACTAAAGGAGTCTATACCTGTTTTATGGTGTATGGATAAGACTCTATCTCCTGAGTATGATTATCCTAGATAGATGAAGATAAACATCATTTGTTTAAGCAATAAATCCCTTTGGCAGTCCTAGAAATATTAACTTCATAACCAAAACCTGTCCTACAGTTGGAAGCTAGGTTTTTTTTTATGCTTATTGGGTAGATAATTGTGCTTCATTCTGGGGTTCAGAACTAGAAAACCCATTACTGTGGGTCCCACCTGTGTATCCCATGTTTCAACTTAGACTTTTACAATCATAAAAGGAGTATTTTGATCTCTACTGTGTCCTTGAAGACACGCTATTGCCTGGAGTCCTCAAACTGCTACAAGTAGCTGAAGTCTATCAGCTGAAAGTATCTCAAGTCAGGGTAGACCTATTTATTTCAGAAGCTGTTGATTCACTGCTTTCAGCTGTGTGATTTCCAGTTTGTTCTGTGTTAGTGTCCTCTGCACTTGTTACAGGTGGGCTTGGGTTCTGAGGTTGCATTTTGTTCGTCATTTTGTGTAGCACTGTCCTCTGCCCTTTGTTGTAGATCTTTGCTGTAGTTATAACCTTCACACGTACTGAAGTTCAGGTGGAGCTCTACAGAGTTTGGACTTATCCAGCTGCATCTGGCTTAGGTCTGGCTGCTGTGCTCAGCTCCTTCCCGCTGCGGACCTGGGCTAGGACTAGGTCTCAGGGTAGACCTATTTATAAGACAATCCTTGGTTTAAGTCTAGAAAAGTTATTCAGATTGTAACTATCAACAAAGATAGCACCACAGAAAGGCACACACCTTCATGAGACTCTGAAAAGTAGGTATAGCTAGAATCAAGCATGAAAGCAATAAAGCAAAATGGGTATGCAGGGACCAGGACATAGGAGCTGCATCATTGGGAAGAAGGGGTGAAGAGAAAGGGAGAGATTGAGAGAGGGAGGGAGGGATTGAGGGAAAAAGTAAAACTCATTGGGAAGAATGTGGTTTAGCTAATCAGATTCAGTTAAAAGCTGAGAAGCAAGTTGGGCAAATATGGGAAATAGGATGGTTCTCCAGATCTCAGCAACAGGAACTCAAGCAGAGTCTCTTCAGGACCTTGCCTCAGGAATCACTCAGTGCCACTCACCTACATCCTTAATGCACTTAAGAGATGCCAGCTCCCAGAAGAGACTTGCTGACTATGTGTTTTACCTCATATAGAGGGAATGTCAGGGAGGTCATTTGTGACAGTGCTGCTAGGATCACACGGAAAGAGGGACAGCTCCCCAGAGGAAGAACTGGATGCTGTCACTTGAAGAGGAGGAAATAATGCTGTGTAAGAGAAAATGGCAAGTGTCCATACAATAGTTTCAGATCCTGGCAGAGAGTTTAGAATGTAGCCACCATCTAGTTGGTTCCTATGTACACAAATCAAGTGTTTCCCAACAGTGTCTCCCATGGAACTGTGCATGAGATGGTCCAAAGATTAAATTATGTTTGAGAACATGATGTACAATGTTGATCCCCTAAGAGAATTATGGATATTTTCAGAAGAAAGTCTGAATTCTTCCATAAAGAAACTTGTCTTTCTTTAATTCATTATCTCTAAACTTACATTTTTGTTTAAAAAACAACTATCTGTAATACCCCACAAAACTTATGTGAAACACTCTTGAGAAGGGTTTCACCATCTCATTTAATTTTCATAGCAGCTCTGGAAGCAAAAGCAAAATGCAAATTTATTTAAAATGTTAACCATAAATACCACTAATCTTTCTGACCTCTTCAGTAGGTCACACACACACTGTGTGCACCATACCATATCCCCACCCCAGCCATGAGCAACACCTGGGAGGTGCGGAGAGGAATCCAAGAGGAGTTCTGTGTTTTGTACCTTCCTAACATCACTCCATCAGCAACATGGAATGTGTTGGGTCTAGCAGGAGTGTGTGGGGTAGGAGTGAGGAAAATAAGAAAACCAGGGTAGCAGTTTCTGTGGCAATTAGGAGATAGGATAGTGTGGACCTGAACTCAGGCACTGCAGAGATGGAAAAGAAAGGACTAGTTTGAAATGTAAACATCAGTATAAGCAACATCTGTTTACTTATGGGATGTAAGGGATAGGGGAAGGTTCCTAGGTTTCCAGCTTGGTTAACTGCTTACTGATGGTAGCATATGCATAAGGAATTCACATAATTATAAATTTATCCGGAGTTAAGACATCATTCTGGAAAAAAAATCAAATTACTAACATTCCTCACCTCTAAGAAAAGTTTTTAAGTTTTAGACAAATTCTAGTAAGTTCATGTTTAATCTATCCCATTTTAAGCGAGATATTGTGCTGGTATTTCTGTAAATAATATATAAAGGCTATCAGGGAATTTTAAACAATGTAAAACCTAACTGTTAGATACTCAGCTCAGATTGTCTGTGGTAGTTATCTCCCTACATAATCAAGCACCCCAAAATTCAGGGGCTTAAAATATCAGCCTGGATGGAGGGATATGGTGTTAGTTCCCCTCCCTGCCCTGGGCTTCCCCACAGCACAGGAGCAGGGTGCTAAGGGAGAGTGACCCAACAGCAGAATTGCCTTTCAGGACATAGCCTTGAAAGTTAGGTAGCATTCCCTTTTGCTTGAGGCAGTCATAATGACCCACCCAAATCAAGAGAAAAGGACTGCTGTCATTTGAATATGGAGAGTCTCCTAAAGGTACACATAGTAAAAATTTGCTCCCCATCATTTGGGAAGGGGCAGAACCTTTTAAGAGGTGGGACCTAGTGGGAGGATTTGGGGACATTGGGTGGGTTTCCTGGAAGGAACTAATTTCTTTCCAGCTCCTTTTTCTGAAGTGAAAATTTCCTGGCCACAAAGTGGGTGATTTTGCTTTGCTACATGCTCTTGCCGTGATGTGCCGCCACAGGCCTGAAACAACGGCCAACTGATCAGGAACTGAAACCTCTGAAATCATAAGCCAAAAAAAAGTTTATTCTTCACAAAGGTGGTCGTCAAAAACATAACTACCACCTCTTGATGGATAAGAGGCAAAGTGGAAGAACAAAAAGAATGGGAAGTATTGTTGCAGTCAGTTTTGTACTCAGGACTCATGAAGCCTGAGACAGAAGGATCACAAATTTTAGCCCAGCCTACTCGACTTTGTGAGGCAATAAGACTATCTCAAAAATGAAAAATAAAATGAAATAGGGCTGGGGATATAGTTCAGTGGTTTAAGAGCCTCCTTGGCAAGCACAACGAGGTTTGAACTTTGATACCCAGGTTCAAACCTCAGTATCAAAAAAGAAAAAAGAACTTGCAATGTATTTCAGTGGTCTTGGGATCAATTCCCAGTAATAAAGAAAAAAAAAATCTCACTAGGTATAGCTTTTATTCTTCTAAATCTCACAGTATTCCTCAAGTTACAAATTGTAAAACTAAAAGAAGATCTTGATATTTTTGGGCAAAACAGCCAATTCTTTTTTTTTTTTTTTTCCTGCAAAGCTTTATTCCAGAGGGGCTCAGTCCTTCTTGGCAGCTGCCTTCCTCATGGCAGCCAGCACATTGCTCAGCTCCTCACGCTTCCTTTAGGCATGGGCATGCTTCTTCACCCTTCACCTTGAAGAACTTGATCAGCTCCATGGCACCGCTTGTAGGGGGACAAAGCCGCACACCTCCCGGATCGTGTCCCACACGAACTTGGTGTGTTTGGTGAGGCATCCGTGATAGCAGCTGTGCCTCGGTTTGCTCTCATTCTTAGTCACCTTGTGGCCCTTGTTGAGGTCCAAGGCCTTGGGACAGCCAAAGGGCCATAGCTACTATTCTCTGATGGTTGCTGTGGCGGAAGGACCAGTACCCCGCGGAACTGTGGGAAATCTAAAACAGCTAACTCTCATTTAGCCAACTGATGGATTATAAGATACTATACAATGTTAAATAATGGTATCATCCAAATGTTGCATTCCAGGACCAGCAAAATAGCTCAGTGGTCTAAAGGGCAAAGGCGGCCTCAGCTGGCCACAAAACAAAACCAAAAAAACAAATGTCACATTCCAGACCAATATGGGCAGTAAAGTAAAATGGGAATATGATTTATTAATTCTGCAAGTCAAATTATTATTAGATGAATATGATTTGGCAATACCTGTAATATTTTCTTTTTTGTAACTAAAGCTACAAATCTGGAAAATGTATTTTTTTCCCAAAAAATTCCTTTTAATATCTTGAATTCTCTTCAAGAACACTAACAATAAAATATATGAAAATATAGAATTTGGAAAAATGGAACAGAATAATTAAGCCATAGGAAAAAACTAAGATATGGGAAGTTGGAATTTTAAATTTCATAAACAAGAAAAAATATTTCTTGTACCATTTAGGAACCAAAAGCCATCATTGGAACAACAAAATTTCTTTAGACTATAGCAAATACCAAAGCTCATATTACAAGAGCAAACCACACCAAGGACCTAGAGGCAGATTTATTTACATCGGTGGGCGCTGATCAGTATTGTTTTCTGGTATTCTTACTTCCAGCCACATGTACAGCTTCCAACAACAAGCAGTTCCTGGTGTGCCCAGCGTAGACCATCCTTATTCTGATCCTCTGACTTTTGTGTTTGGCAGTTTGGGGTTTTATGTTATTTTTTCTGAATGGAACTCTAATTCTTTCTAAGGAACTCCAATTACTTTTGCTGTTTTGCTGGCACAACGGGATTACATGGATGGGACAATGGAAAGAAAGCTGGGTGGAAGGCATAAAGCATATGTAACGGCAAAGGCACATGCTCAAGACAGGTGCGGCAGCCATATCCCCAGAGGTCTCCCCTGTGGATAATGCTGGCTGTGAAGAGTGCATAACTGCCTCACATATGAGAGAATCTGTTCACAATTCTCACAATTTTAAGACATTTCAAAAAATATATATGCAAACACAAGTGTACTTTTTTTTTTTTTTTTTTTTTTTTTTTGCGGAACCAGAGATTGAACTCAGGCCCTTGTGCTTGCCAGGGAAGCACTTATTCCACTGAGCCATCTCCCCGGCCCCAAATATACATGTTTTATAAGTCAAGCTTGATATGTTGTCACAAACTAAGAATCTCAAGGAAGTTTCTTATGTCTTCAACTGTATTGTTCTGGAAACTGATGCCAGGTTTGCCTGTTAAAACAGACAACCTCAATGCATCCATGACTGTTGTGAAACTAGTATTTTGCAAGCTCATACCTCAGCTGGCCAGGCTTCAAGCGTATACTGGACCCTTCCCAGTTTTTCCTGCCCCTATCACTTCTCTCTCTCCTCTGAGCTCCTGTTTATCCTGGACCACACCCTTTAATCAGTGGCTAATTGCCTCACACCTACTCCGTTCCCACTGCAATTATTTTGAAAGCATGTATTGCTTACTATTTAATTGAAAAGCTACTTTAAGATGTATCATTTAAAATATCTGTATTCCTTAATATTACTACAAGCAGGAGAACTAGATTGGATTTTTTATCAGAAAATAACTACACAATTAAATCCAGAAGCACAATACCCAAATCATTAATATTCCAAAGCAAAGGTCCAAATATTTTGATAGTTTGTATGTCATAAGATAACCAATTTATTCATGTAACCAAAGATCTTTATAAATCCTTATAAATTTATCTTTATAAACTATTCTTATAGTTTATTGGAAAGATATTTTAGAATATTTCCCAAATTGCAAACATGTAGTAGGGCCTCTTGAGGACAAGAACTGACCAGTTGTCCTTGAAGTCACTGTGCTCTTACTGGCCTGTGTAGCCAGGGGTTCCTTTTACATGTTTTACTTAGACAATATTCTAACTACTTGTGCTCACCAAGTTAGCGAATAAAGGAAGTCTTCAAGTCCAGCAAGACTGTGAAGAGACAGGCCCGACTATACACAGTACTGCTCAGAGTGTAAACCTGCAACCATCCCAAAGCCACAAATTCTCAGTAGTACTGTACTTATTAAGAATCTTTACATTCTTATGCCCAGTAATTCCATTTCCATTTGATGAAAAATACATGATGATAAATGTGCATAAACCAAGATGAATATAGTTTCACAAATATATTGTAAAAATAAATTGTAAAATAAAAATGCCAGTAAAAATTAATGTTTAATCTAACATTATTTACTATGTGGTGATGATATCTTAAATTTTATTTTAAATAAAAAGAACCAAAATTCCAAAACAATGATAGAAGGGTAACAATGGTTAAGGCCTTGCATATAGTTATCTTTAAATTTCTCATAGTATAAGATATCAGCATTTAATTGTCCAAACAATATTAGCACATACCTTCA